TTATGTGACAGACTGCCTGGTAAGCTATACGTTTCCTATTGTATTGCACTACTACAGTTTGCAGTAGTTTGCAGCTAAAACAATGTTTGTCATTGTTCCAGACGGAGCAGAAGATTTTCTAAACATGGTGAAAAAGCTCTGTGAGGACAGTGGAAATGACTGGTATCGTGTTTACCTCATCCGCAAGCTCAGCGAATCACAGGGTGTGGAGTATGTCCAGACAATGATGAAAAAACCTGAGTTCTTCTGGATTTTCCCTGAAGAGATACATCAGCAGGTAAAGCTACTGCCAAAAACTAGAGTATAGTTAAATTAATTCAGACAGTTTTATCTATAATGTGTGAGATCATATCAATAGTTAGGCACTGTATTGGGTAAGGAGACTCTACAATGTAACTCTACAATGACAGAAGCCCAGACTTGTTGATGAACAAGAACAAGTAGGGAGGAATGACACCCTTTTAATAGAAAAAAAGCCCCCGTCCACTCAGGCCAGCCATTTCATTGGAAGAAGTTGGGCTGAGGGGAAAGAAGACAAAAAAGAAGAGCCTGAGATATAACGAACTAAGATAAACAGGGAAGATCACAGCCTCCTGGGGAGTGAAGACACAGAGTGATGGCTGCAAAACCGTAGCTTATAAAGTCAGATTTTACTGTGTTATGGTCTGTCTAGAGGTGGCCAGACCACAACATGAAGGCTTCCTGTTCAACTGAAATTTTTTTGGTTTTAAGAAGTGTGAGCAAGCATTTTAGTGCAGTGTGTGAGGGTGTCAGTGGTGTGGCTTTGCAATCGTGTGTGTCAAAGATAAAATTTCAGTAATGTGTGTGTAAGAGGCTTTCAGTAATAATGTCCCGAAAGGCCCGTCATACAAGAACATCTCGGGTGTAATATATGTACTTAAACATGCTTCCTTTTCTGGTTGCAATTTTGGTGTCAAAAGAATGAAGATGGAGGCCTGATGGACCAGTATCTTGTGTATGGAGAGGAGTACAAGTCCGTGCGAGAAGCAGTTGCCAAGGCAGTAGTGGACGGTGATGTCGAGCAGATAGAAGACGCCTGTGAGGTATAAATATGCGCCAAACATTCTCTTTCATGTGTTTCACTTACCTGTTACTATTATATTGTTTTGATGAAACCACAATCTGTGTGCTAAGTTCATTTAATAATAATAATAATAATAATAATAATAATAATAATAATAATTTAAACATTTCTCATTACTTGTACAGCACTGCTAGTTACATTATAAGACCTGAGATACTTTGTAGTACTTTTGTAGTACTCACAATAGTACTAGTACTTTACTCTATATGCTCATTTTTATTTTTATTTTTATTTTACACTTATACTTTTCATTATTATTATTTTTTATACATTAGAGATGCACGGCATCACCAAAGAATCGGACAGTGTTTCTCCTGCTGGCTCTTTTCCGAGAGGTTACAACTCTGTACAGATCTGAAAACAGGGGTCTTCATCCTACTCCTGAGGTATGAATAATGAGAAAATTACCATCTGTAGCAAATGGATAAAGCATCGAGACTCTAGAAGAATTATTGGATTTTATTCAGAAAAACATGGATTTGGGGATTTTATTCTCAGCTGTAAGTGTGACGCTGAGTCTCAAAGTTTTAGAAATATAAATGAAGGATGATGATTTACAAACTCAGGGACAAAAACAACCATTTCCATATTTTCTAAAACGGTGTGTGCTGCTCTAGCAATAATGTTGGTATGGGTGTAAACCAGGGAGCAGTTTGCCAGTGGAGGGGGGAACTTCACCCCCCTTCTACTCGACTCTGTCTCTGCTAAATTATTCTTTATTCCCAGTGGGGAATCATCACCCCATCTGATTTTTAGTACTGCATCTTGAAACAGTCTACAGTGAAAATGTGACAGGATGAACAGGATCCTCTTTTGTTCCAGCTTTTCATAAAGCCACCAAGCACTGCTGTTTCTGAGTGAAAACTACAATTAGCTATACAAAAATCAGAACATCAGAAGACTCACACAAAATCCTCAGAATAGTCCTACTGAGTATAAACCACAACTTATCATCTATATCACAATTCTGAAAATTGTGAGTTGTGTAGCTTCTTCTTTTAACTTGGTACAGGTTACCCACAGGCTGCTGTTTGCAGCATCCTGGAGACATTCTTCTTATGAAGTCTGTCTCTGAAAAAAGTGGGAGTTTTTTTTTTTTTGCTTTGCCTGTTATGGTGCAGCTGCTATGATGTGCAGATAGACGGGAGAAGCCACACGAATGAGTAAAAAGAACAACCCTAACCTGACTGTCATTCACATATTTCAGCCTGGGGTCCAAAATGTTGTAGAACATGTTACAAACTGAGTCATTTATTGACTCTCAAACTCCAAATGTTAGTCGCTTATCTCAGTAAATGTCTGAGAGATTGAACAGATGACGCGAAAACAGAGAGATGACACACTGAACGAAGACTGTATCAACTACAGGAAACGCAGAAAACAGACATACACTCAATTGCAGAATGTGTTTTTATTAACTGCCTGATTTATTCTACCGCGTAGCTACCAGCAGCACTTTAATACCTAAATTATAGTAATAAATAAATCCAGTAGTTCATAGGAAAATATCTTGTAGTAGCACCACATTAATTTTGTTTTTTCATTAGTCTCCATAATGTGTGTGAGGCTGAGCAACAACAGCCTCTCCCTGCAGCTCCACACTGCTGAGCTGTCGACCTCAGAGCAATGTTGCAGTGGGGCGAGGAAGCTAAAGTCATCACCGTGGATCGTCCTTATGATGAAGTTGGAAGATACACGGGAACTCTCTTAAGCAAGCTTTCTTGTAATGTCTTTAATTAGTCTTAAGGAATAGTTCTCCAGGTTTCTTGAAAGGTATTCAAAGCTTTCTTTGGATGTTGGCTGCCTTTTGTTGTGCCATGATGATCCCACGCTGCTACAATAATCTTGTGGTCTGGGCTCCCAGGAGACCAGTCCAAACTTCCATTGTTTGTTTGTCTTTCCAATGTATTTCAGTGTGTTTGAGATCACTGCCATACTGAAAGTTGAAGTTATTGTCAGATAGTATTGCATGAAGGATCTCAAATTTGACGAGAACAATAGCACTGGCCGAAATGCCAACCTGAACTGTAGCAGAGCCTCCTCCTGACCTCCCTGTACATAAACCCAAAATTTAAAAATCACGTTCATCACATCAGATGACCAGACACTCATTTCTACTTTCTAGTATATCTACTAATATAAAATCAAATATGACACTCTGTTTAACAAATTAGTGCAATTATTAAGTCAATTATTCTTCCTGTTTTTGAGGGTGAAATTTTAAATTGTATTGTTTTTCTTACATGTCTTCTATATTCCCTAAAGCAATGTCTTGAATTTGATGACCTCATCGAGGGCTCAACGTATCTGCATCAAGCAGAAGTAAGACGATTTGCCTCAGCCTTGGTTTACAACAGGTTGGGAGCGCTCACTGTTCAGCCTGGTAGTGCTATCATGGAGAACACCATCACTGAGCTGATCATTCATCTGGCAGCTGTGCTGCTCACTGGGAATCATCACCTGCTAATGCCACTCAAGCATCTTGGTCTGTCTCCTGAAAATATGCAGGTAAACATCAGGACATCATATGTAAAAAGTGGATGTAGTCATAAAGATGTCACCCACTGCTCAGTGGACTTGTTAACTTAACAACATTACATTTATATTACCTTTGTGCAGTTTCTTAGATTGTCATTTCATTTAACCTACAGAGGGCTTTTATACCCACAATGCCTGATGACATTTTAGCTGTTGCCCAGGCAGCCATGAATTCTGAGGGCCAGCTCACTTGGTATGGTAAGTATTACTCCTTTTATATATGCAACTAAAACATTATAAATGATCCTTTGTAGTAATTTAGGTTTTCACACAAACAGCCCTAAATTGAAATCCTTTGAAGAATTCTGCAACAGCAAATATAAGGACATTTATAGGGGATGTAAAGCTTTTTAAATTTTATTGTGGGGCAAAGTCACCAGACTTATTTATTGGATTTAGCTCATGATTTTATGCATGCAGATTTTATGTCCAGATGACCATTAACTTAAGTTAATAGTGGTAATGGTTCAAAATAAGAGTGTACAGATGTGTTACCAAGATGGCAAGAAGGATGTGGCAAGACTTGGTTCTAGGAGCACTTTGCATAAGCTTGCCTGCATATTATGTTTTAATAACTCAAGTGATTTTTTCCCATAGTCTGTCCAAATAATCATCCATGCTGCGTTGATATGGTAAGCCATTTTAATTCCGTTCCAGTTAATATATTAATGACAGTGATTACAAATATAATGTTGTTAATAATTGTACTATTTATGCCATCTTTCGCTGTAGTGCGGCATGCCCATAGAGAGAGGCCGATGTCTGGAGTGTGGTGAAGAAGTTGGAGGAGAACATTACGCAGTCGTGCCTGGATTCACAAAAGTTCAGTTGCATGAGTGAGTGTCATTAAATTCCAAGAAATTTAATGTACTAAACACCTTTCTTTAATGTCTTGATGCATTCTCAATCATCCAGGAAAATAAATCTCCTAAAGTTGATTCTGTTCATCTGGACGCTGCATCCAGATGAACAGAATCAACTTTTGGAGACCTTTCTTTAATGTTGCAGTGAAACTCAGGTCTTAAAAGCTTGGTTCCTAGTTAATTTATATTCATAAATTAATATATGAATGATATCTATCTATTTATCTATCTATCTATCTATCTATCTATCTATCTATCTATCTATCTAGACTGTAATTCACATTTGCATGATTTATTTAAACACCATGAAACTCCAAATACACAAATACATGAGACCAGCCACAAAAACACTCCTGTTCACAACTTTTAGGCACAGACTGACACTGTGCCTCTTCATTAAATCCTCAAAGAAAATGATCAGAAGAAGAAATTGGAAGCACAAGATAATTCAGGCACTGCTCATTTGTCTTTAGATGATAACAAAGACTGATATAATTGAATTGCTCTGTAAAGTAGCTTCAGCTGATTTATAAAAAAAAAAACTGCAGAAATTTTCAGTATATTTATCCAGTGATGTCAAACCTTCCACTTGGAAAAGTAACAGATATTTGGACTTAGACTTGGAAAGGACTTAGAGAAAGAAAAATGTGCATGTGTGAATGTGTTTTCTACCATTAAAGCTGTGGCACTGGGAGTATACCAGCTCTTCTTCTTACTGATACAAATCTGTTGTTTTAGGGATCAAACACGTCCCGGTCACATTCTGGGAGACCCTGAACGGAGAAACAACCCAGATGCTTTAGACACCAAACACATGTCTCTGACTCCCTTTACTCTGGTCAGGTTGGTTACACATTTGGCCATGATGCTGGGAGCCTCAGAGAAACCTGAGGTGAGCAGAATATAATTACTCTATCTTTGTGGATCCTAATCATTTTTAAATGAAGTATTTGAAGTGAGAGTTACTTTGTACAGTAGTGGCATTATCTAAGCAGCTTAAGTCATAAGCTGTTCATGAATAATCCACAAAACTCAATGAATGATGTTGCTTGTTTTATTACATCTAACAATGATGCTGTCACTCACTCTTTGTTCAGGTTGTCCAACAGATAATCCAGCCACCTGTGGAGGATGTCAGTTTGTTTCTCAGGTTGCACATAACAAAGGATCTTGAGCATCTGTCCCAGGCACTGGGAAAAGGAGCTGACGACAACGTAACATCTGTTCACTTGGTGCTCAAATCACTGCAGGAGCTACCACGGGCCAGTTCCAGTAAGTATCCAATCTTTAGTCACATGAACATGTGTCAAATATGGTCACATCTAGAATGACAGGAAGAAATAATGGAAGTCAGTACTTCATAAGAACTTGATTAAAATTGTGATTCCATTTAAGCTTAGAAAGAGTCTGCCACTCATTTTTGACTTTTCTTCTAGCTACTATCGACCCTTATCTTACAACCAAAGAATCCAGAAACACCTGGGAGACTACTGTGGCGACAGATATTATGACACCAAAGCTGATGGTAATTTGTTAGCTCAGTTTTTACCCTTTTTATCATGAACCCCTTTTCACTCTTATCTATATAAACCCTCTTATATACCCTTTACCAATATTTTGTGTCCAGGATCTTGACCAACTCCTACAAGAGGCAAAGGGAACCATCAGAAATGACTCACGTGTATCTTCCAACTTCATCATAAGGACGATCCACGGTGATGACTTTAGCTTCCTCACCTCACTGCAACAGGGCTCTGAGGTCGACAGCTCAGCAGTGTGGAGCTGCAGGGAGAGGCTGTCGTTGCTCAGCCTCACACACATTATGGAGACGAATGATCAAAAGGAGGAGCTCCCCCTGCTCTGGAGGTTCCTGCAGAAGGTGTGTGTCTCACAGATGTAAAGCTTTGATTGATCAGAATTCACCCATCCAGTCAAAAATTTACTCGATTGCATGCGTGAATTACTGACCAGACTGAGGTTTTTTTTATTTGTTTGTTTTGTTTTTTGTCTTTGAGGTAACACTGTGCACTATGGATAATTGCAAGGTTTTCTTTTTTTAAAACCTTTAGACCAAATGTCAAATTTGCCCTCATATATTATGAGATGGATGAGTACAATGTTCTTTGTCACACATTTCTAGAATAGAAATTGAATAGAATTGAATAGTCTATCTTTTCCCACAACCTTCAATTATATCAGTGCACCACCATGCTATAACTAATTATCTTTATATATTTTAAATGTAAAAGCAATTTTAAAACGTTTCAGTAAGCTTGTTATTATTCTCACTGGTAGAATTGAAAATAACCAAAGATACACAGCCTGTGCTGTTGAAGCATTGTTATCAGCCGATTGGTTTTTTTTTTTGGGTTTTTTTTCAGGAGAGAGAATTTCGGCTTATCAAATTCCTCCCAGAAATCCTAAACCTGCAGAAACGTTTGGTGAGAAAATACCAAAATGCAACTGAAGATATCGTGGGCTCCATCAGAGAATTCATTGATCAGCAAACAGGTGCAGATTATATGGACCTAAACTCTCTCCAAATGTGAACAATGACTTGATTAATCTACAGTACTATTTCTGAATAAATGTGAAAATCACAGTCAAAATCCTTTAAAGTTGGCTTTTGCTACACAGACAAAGCAACTGAAATATTTTTTATTCTGTTTGTCATGCAAATGTTTTTAAATTTGTTGTTTCAGAAATGGGGCAGCAGTATCAAAAACACATTGAGACCTTCTTGAAAACATGGAATCAGCTAAGAGTTTCTGTCACCAGCAGTAAGTAAAGCACTTATTTTACCCTTTGTCTGAACAACAAGATAATTTGTTGGTGCAGTTAAATCTTTTATTGTTCCTTTTATTTTGTATTTTTTTTCAGGACATTTTTATCAACTATACAAAAAAATAGCTTGATTTGACTTTGCCTTACTGGGTTTAAAATGGGAACGGTGGAATTCTTGATTGATTTTAGTTGCCTTCGAGAGCAAACATAATTCTAATTCTAAATGACTTTGTAAACAATAGAGGTCAAAATAATAGAAAAAGATCTACCACTGACCAATTACTGAAAACATATTATTATTATTATTTGTTCTTGTGATTAAATGGAACAGTTAATAAACACATATGTAGATTTTTGTTATATTTGAAATAAGGAATTATTTATCTGTCCTTTCAAAACTATAGATGAAATAAAAATTCCAGAAGAATTTTGCAGCAGCGATTTGGACCTGGACAGTGACTTGCAGTACCTCCTGCCCCGTCGGCAGGGTCCAGGCCTGTGTGCCACAGGGCTGGTCAGCTATCTGGTGACTCTCCACAATGAGTTGGTGAATGCAGTGGACCGTCACACACGAGAGGACAGCAGGTACTTTTTTAAAGCAGGTTATGTAGCTTTTTTAATCAAGCTGTATCAGGTATCCTCCTACCTGAACAGATGAGTCAAATGAGTATCATTCAGGGGTGTTAGTATTAAAAATCCTTTCTTTCACCTGGGAGCTTGACATAGATACCCAGAGCGACATAACCGATTACTGAGTCGATGCTATTGATACATGATATATTGTAAATATAATACAGTTCAGTTTTGTTCTCAACAAAAATTTTCTTCATCAAAATAGTTTCTTGCATTCTAGACCAACATGAGCAAAGACATGTGGGGAGATTAAACTTTATATCTACATTGTGGTGTCTGCAGTGACTACACAGTGAGTCTGATGGAGCTAATGGAGCAGCATGTGATCAGCTATGATGTGGAGAAGGATCTGCTTCCACTGGTTTTGTCCAACTGTCAGTACAGCTTGGAACGTGGCCACGAGACAATATCTGAGTATGACCTGCCCAGGATCCAACAGCAGATCCTCACCCGCTTTCTGCAGGGAAAACCTCTCATTACCCGCGCAGTGAGTCCACACAGCCAGTTAAAACATGTGTTCCACGTCTAAAATTACACAAACTTTGGCTGAAATTAAGAGTTCCAGTTGTTTTAAACTCTTGATTTCTCTCCACTGCAAAGAAGTTCATTTTCTGTTGAAGTTCTATTGTAATAGACAGCAGGAGGGCTCAAGAAGCAAATACAGTACAAACACAAATAGGACTAAGCTATTACTGTTTGTTCCACATATTTATGACAGCACACTACAACATGTGGGTTTTACATCATAAGTCCTCCCTGACAAAACCTCCAAGGGATTCTTTTTCCAGAATAAAGCCAGGAATCTTTTGTTAGGCAAAGTTGTAAACCACTGCACTATGGAGTTTGTTTTTATTGTGTTGGTTAACTACAGTGGGAAATTTTCATCATTTGACTCAAGTCTTGTATCTGTTCTACGTGATCTTACTTAGTTTAAAATCATATTTACATATTTCCCTGCTTCACTTAACCCCCTGTGTTTTATTAAGGGAATTCCCACACTGGTCAATATGCAAGAGAGAGACTATGAGACCATTTTCAAAACTGTTCATGGAAAAGTGGCACAGGTAAAGTAATATGACCCGTATTGAGTTTACAGTAAAAGTGCTAATATTTGTTTGGGAGATATTCTTGATAAATGGACTTACTATCTATAATCTGTAAATGGTTATTACAGGTATAGCAGATTGATGTTTTGTTTATCACCAAATCGCATAAATATTTTGGGCCGAATAGTCACAGCAAATAAGAAAAATTGTCCTAACATTCATCTATAAAAGATCTACTCACACATCACACAGTTATATTGGGATGATTTACTTTTCAGTGCTTTATGACTTCACTGCTTTGTTTCTCTATCAGACGGCTCTGTCCCGTTTGATCTGGAACTCCGTGTCGAGACAGCTGGACTCTTACAGTGAAGTGTGTGAAGCACTGAAGATTGTGGAGCTGCTTCTGGGTTATCTCTCAATGACTGGTGGTGATCCCAAAATGAAACTGGTCATTTACCTTCAGGAAATACTAAAGATGGACCAAAATATTAATCAGCACATACTGAAGGTCATTACATGTACACTCTCTCACTCTGACCCTCCCATATCAAAAATCAGTATTAATGACAAAGCAAAGACCAGAGAGAACAAACTATCTATAAGTTGATCTTTAAGTTGATCACTTTTTTGCAGGCTTTTGGCAAATGTCAACTCAGACACTGTGTTTGTCTGTGGCAAGTCCTGTCCTCTCTCAGATCTGAAAAAATGCTGCAACTGAAAAGGGTAAGTTTTGCAGTATGTTTTGTTTTCAGATACAAATAAAATTTCAAGTTCATACACCACATGTGGTTTTTCACTGAGGATACATAAATTGTAAGTTTTGATCCTAAGCTCCTGTGTTAGCACTTTGGTCATTATGACCAGATATGTCAGTCCATCTACTGTATACATACAAAATGCATGCTTGCATGTCTTGTTAAAAAGGAGCCCTTTTCGGGGTATCCAGCCGAGTACCAGGTGCCACTGACTGAGGAAAACAAGACTGAGCTGAAACGATTCATGTCCAGAGGAAACATGGACCAGTGGCTGCTTGAGATGCATGAGTTCCTCTTGTTGCGCCTGGGCCGCCTACGGGCAACTGAGGACTACAATCCATCATGGAGGTAAACCTGTTGTATGGTATCAGATTGTTTGTTTGGTAATGCCAGGGTTTTGTTTGGCCCTGACTTAGCAGGTGTGAAGAACAATTTACATCCTAAACCTCAAAGTCACTGCAGATGATCCTGTGTAGCCAAAATATGGATATATAAGAGTGATCTCAGAGATGCAAAGATATGCGTACAGTTATAGATTAGTCTGAATGAAGCAAAATATTTTCATCTAAGTATTAAAAACAATACTTATATTTAAAACTATGTTAGTTTGTCCAATTAATTTTCAGTTAATCAATCAATCTTAAAAATGTCCAAGTACTTTGTGCATATTTTACTGTCTTCAGATAAGCCTTGTTTATTCATTTTCATATCTGTATAGTGCCCCATCGTTTGGCCTTTCTGTCTATACCAAAAGTATGAATGTCTTTATTTGTTATAATGTTTTTTTGTTTTCCTGCTAAGTAAAAAATTATTTGCTCAAATGTAAAAGTAATGTATTAAAATTTATATTTTCTTTCTTTCTGACAGTCTGAAGGAGGCGGTCAGTGCCTACATGGATCATAAAGAAGTAGAAGTCCCTACTTACGTAAAGGAAAACTTCCCTGAAAATGTGCAGCTGTCTCAGATAATTGAGACCTGGAAATACACCATCACAGCCAAACAGGAGTTGATGAATGAGTGATGAACGGAATGAGTGCATAGAGAGATATTAGTTATCCAAAGAAGTAAACAAAGGTATTTTTTCTGCATTTATTGGTGTAATAATCATACGGTGTGTTGTGTTGTTCATTTGTTTTTTGGAATTATTTTAGAAATTCAATTCAACAACCAAAAACTATATTTACATTTTAATATTTTATTTTTCATTATGATTTACTTCTCTTGTGAATGGGTTGAATTTAAAAAAGAAGAGTAATATTATCATGCTGCAAGGAGTGAATAATATTTCTCCATCTAATAAGAAATTAAAGCAATAGGTGATTGATACACATAGAAAAAAGCAAAATCTTGTAATCCAATGTAAATGAATGTGCACAGTTCGATCATAAACACGAAAGGGGATGGTATACTGAGCATTTTACACTTTTTCATATATATTTTATTTTTCTTATATTTTAAAATGCTTTAAGTTTTTATTTACATTTATGTAAAAGTTGAGATTTACTACATTTTGTGGGTTTTTTTTAAATTTAATAGTTTGACTTATCAGATTTTAATGACATGTATTAAACCTGGTTGCGTTCAGCAGATAATTGAGAGATGAATTGGATGATTTTAGAGAGATTTTAGTTTATCAGTTAACTTTAAGTCATACTACTGCTTTGAACTCTTTTATTTGTTTATGGTCTTGTTGATGTTTTTGTTGATTCGTTTATGAGAAAGATTAGAAATTACATTTAAGCTCAGTGAAAACAATGAAACAGCAAAGCAGAATAAACTCAAGCACATCATGAGTGAGCTGCTCATGTATTTACTGTGAGAGTTTATACAGGATGACTGCTTTCATATATTTTATATATTATTCTTGCATGATTATGTGTTTTGTTTTAAAGTAAAATCTTTTAGGGTGAAGTAACAACAGGATGGATTGATAAACTAGTGCAAAAACTGCACATTTTCCATTTTTTTTCATACATGTTAAAAAACTATAAATGTTCATTTACATAAAAGTGACTTGAATATGTTCATTTAAACAAAAAAATTGACTTGCAGTCTGAGATTATTTCCATTTATCTGTGCTGGAAAGTTTGATTTATCAGATTTTTGTGTGTTAAGTGACTTCATCAAACATGAAGTATATTTGAGGTAAACTGGAGGAGTTTTAATTTTCTATTTATTTTTTTTTTATCATTTTAATTTTTCATTCCTATACTGAGAAAGTTGTTCGCTTTGATGAGGATTTACTGTTTTGTTTTATTTCATGGTATATTTTAGCATTATTCTTGCATTTATTTTACTGCTAAAGAACAAAATCTGATTTAAACACTTTAAAGACATGATACTGAGTAAAGAAATGAATGACTGATAGTTTTCTTTTTACATTTTACTAACAGTGTCAAATACTTTTTGCTTGCATCAATATAGAAGTCAATCTTTTACATTTTATCTATTTTCTCTAATACTTGAATTTTAAATTTTTTAAAAAAAAATAACACACAACAAAAACAATGACACACAGCAAGGCAGATAAAACAAGTGCATTATTTCTTCAATATGAGCCACCTGCTCATTTGTTGCATTTTGTCAATCTAAAAAAAATACTAAGAGTTATTTTGAAAATTCAGAAATGCATTGTTGAATTTGACAATCATATAGTGTGAAACTGTTGATTTACTCTTTGTGCCAAAGGATTATGTACACTTTTCTCTTTTTTTTTTTTTTTTTTGCTTTCTTTTTTTATTAAGTATATTTTACTATGTACCAGCACTCAGACACAAAATTGTATTACTTTTTCTTACATATATCAAGTATCCTGTGTTGATAATTTGTTGTTTATCTGCTAAAAAAAATGATTAAAGTACATTGGAAAATGTTTCATCTGCAATAGTAAATAAAGCAGTTGTTACACACATGTGACCTGCAATTTATTATTCCTGCCGTAGTTACACATTTTTAGTCACTTATTGAAAACTAAAAAAAAAAAAAAGATTGTTCAGCGTTGGGAGACTGTCTTAGATTATCTGGGTTTTTTATGATTCATTATGAGTAAATCAAAAGTGTTTTTTTTTTGTTTTTGATTTAATACAATAACAGTTTTTCTTGTGTTTTATAGTTTTTTACAGTGGTTGAGATACTACCCCTTGAACTTTTAAACATTGTGTCACCTTACAGCCACAAACTTAAATGTTTTTGATTGATTCTCAGTGATCTGATTGCAATACAATGGTTTGACAAGAAATGTGTCAACTTTCTAAACAATGCCTGTGGGTTCATGCCTCTTTAATCGGTCATATGGTGGAGCAAAGAGTCCAATGCAAAGATCACCATTCCATGCCCATCACTCATCCCTGTATATAATTAGCATATGGGAAGAATTAAGCTTTCTGATATGATATTACACCCGTATAAGACAAGTTATAAGTTACAAGTTAAGGAGATGGCTGGTCGGATTAGAGATGGACCGATCGATATTAGGTATCGGTATCGGTCTGATACTGACGTAAATTACTGGATTGGATATCGGAGAGAAATAAAAAAAATGTAATCCGATCCATTCAGTATCAAAAAAGCACCTCACAAAACTTGCGACACGGCGTAACTCGGCTCATAACCGTAGCACGTC